TAGCGCAACCTTCGACGTCCTCCTTGCATTCCCACAGCTCGCTGACAGGGACGCAACCGCAGCCGCTGTCCCTCGTAACCAAGTCTCTAGAATAGCTTTAGCCTTTAGCCCTTTCTCTGGTGTTGCGGGGTTTGGAATTCTCTTCGGATTTTGCTTTTCCTTTCTTTTTTGTTTGTTTGTTTTGTTTTTCTTCTCGTTTCGTTCTGGTTTTTAATTTCTTTTTTAATTTTTTTTGCCGTTGTTCGTTCGTTGTTCGTCGCCGTTCCTCGGTTTCGTTTCCGATTCGTGCCGCGTGGCTACATTAGTTGATGTTTTTATCGAGTTCATTGGTCAATATTTGACCCATTCTTATTTCAATTTCTCCTTTTTAAATATGTAGATGAGAGAAGCCTCATGATTCTGCCAAAATTTTTATCAACAGCTGTTTAAAGTCTTTGTAGCGTTTAAAAAATATATATATATACATAATTGTTATGTAGTTCCAATAGCTTAGTTTTAAAGACTGATTTTAAAAATTACAAAAAAAAAAAAAAAAAAAAAGAAGCAATTTTGAAGCAGCCCTTGCCGGAGGCATTGGTTCTTTATTATTTGTATTAAATACGAGCTTGCGAACCAATCATTTTACATCTGGTTTTTAAACCTTTAAGGGCACAACGAATGCAGTGCCGCTACTACTTCTTTTTTTTTTTTCTTCCTTGTGTGAAACAACCTTTATTGTGATGTTACTTGTTATTGTTTAAATGTACAGAAACAAAGGGTTAAAAAAAAATGTGTTAATATACCTTGTTCCATGGTGTTGTTCTTTTTGGGGGAGGGAACGCTACTCAACAATTAAAAGTATCACAACGCTATTGGACCAGTAGTATTTATTGCTTTAGAAATTGCTTGTTGTATCCGTATGTTGTCCCTTTTTAAATGTTTTTTTCCTCTTTTTTTTCCTTGAAACATTGTATAAATTTTTTTCCCTTAGTGTAAGCATCTTATATATAACAACTCATTTGTACAAGGTTTTTAAGTTTATATATAAATGTGTATATATATATTTTTTCCAGGATTTTTTGTTTTCGATTTCTTTTTGTGATTTTTTTTTTGCTGTATGAAACACAGTTGCCACCAAATGGATATTCACAGATGCATTTTTCAAGGATCAATAGTTTAAAAAATAAATTGCTTTAAAAGCCATTACACACAAAAAGACTTGAAAATTTAGCAAGGGAATTTCTAGCAACGCTGTTTGAAAAATAGCAAGGTCCAAGTGTCTCCTGTTCAGAACTGCAGCTGAATCCCCTGTGACATTAGGACTGTAGGCTGTGTGCAAAATTTTTATGTGCCAAAATTCTCAGTGACTTTTAACTTTCTCCCGACAACCTTATTATTTTTTTAATGCTGTAATTTTTTGTTCATCATGTTTTGCTGTGATGTTACATAGGTAGATATGTATGTAGTTTTAATGTCACCTATAACAGACGTGTTTGGTAGCAGATTGTCCGGAAAGCATTTAAAATGAAGAGGTATAAACCCTTAAGGGCCAAATTCTGTATATTAGATTATTCATAAGAGGAAAATCAGACTGCCACTTTTATGTACACTTACTACATACAGGTAGGTAGCAATCTTAAAACAAAAAAAAAAAACCTAGGCATGTTGATGTTGCAAAAAACGCTGTATAAAGCTGAAAAATTGTTCATCTGTTCATTCAGTGCCATTGTAGTTGACATGAAGCGATTGTAAAACTGTCTCAGATTTTTCTCTGGTTTATTAAGATGCTAACTATAACATTTTTTGTGAATACTTTGAATGTTTCCTAACAGTTGTGATGTTACTGTTCCGTTTTATGCTCTTATTCCAATTTTCATTTTTAATGGTTTGGAAGCCATTTTTTGTAATGAATAAATGTTCATGCTGTACAGTATCTGTAGCATGCAGTTCTGGATTAATAAAAGCAACTTAGTATGTGCAGAGAATGACTTGTCAACTCTTTTATGCATTGACTGCATTTTACTCTGGCCAAAAAGATTTACAGCCTGAATGGAAAACTTCCTTATAACACTTTTCTAGAAAAAAAATCGCAGTTCCAACCAGCTCTGCTTGGTTAGAAATACTCTGCTTTGTTTGGTTTCCTTTGCTGCTACCCTCTGAGAGCCTGCTAAATTCATCTTGTGCTGGGCCTCCCTGCTCAGCAAACTGCTTTGTTTGTGAGTAGCAGTGGTTGAAAATACCTTTAATTTAAAGCAAATGGTACGTGAGATGGCAGTATGAGATGGCAGGCAAGATGTGCCACGTGGCACAGAGCCACGTGCTGCCGGTGTGATGGGATACACCTGTGTGATCCTGATGCTGGGATGAGAGGCTGGTGATAGCTTTAGTTTTAAAGCAAGCATTTGGTGCAACCTGTCGATGCTACTACACAGGGTAGACACATTAGAAAAGTCAGGAGAGTGTAGTGACTCTACATGGTCAGAGTCCTTGGTCTTTGGAACGCATCTCTTGGACAAATTTGTGTCCATTTTTGCAAACTTTGTAATGCACAGAGTCCTGGCAGCCCTTGCAGGAGACCTGCTGTGAGTCCTGCACATCCAGCATCCACGAGATGCAGCGATGCTTGTGGATGCCTCACTGTGGGAGTGAACGTACATGCCGCTGGGAGTTCAAGTATTTTGCTAGAACGAATGATTTTGTTTGTTACCTGCCTAGGTATTTAAGCTTAATTTCCAGGAAACTCTCACGAGTGGATGTCACCATAACCCAAGTTATTTTGGCAAATCTCAGCCAAGTATTTTCTACAATGGTACTTAAGGGTAATTGTGAAGGCAGCAATCTGTGAACAGGCCTGTTCCCCGCCTTCATGAGGGCTTCTGTAACATACTTTTTGTTCTTTGGTCTTGATGAGCTCTTCAGGGAGGGGTAAGTTTTCCTTCTCATATGGGGAAGTAGCCAGAAATGGGAAGTGACTTTCTTCTCCGAAGATTGGGGAACGGGGCCACTTCTGCAGGTTCTGCCATGGTCATGCTGTCATGTGGCTCTGCTGCAGCCTGTGCTGTCCCTTCTCTTGGTGGTCTTCAAACCTGCCCAAGGCCTGGTTTGGGTGCTGAAGGGCAACAGCGCACTTCGGTGAGGTATGGGTTCAATTGCTTCCAGATCTGCTCCAGAGCAAAGAAAAGAAAGCGATCCATCTAAATAACATTGCCTTGCCTCCACGAGTGAAATCAAAGCTGGGCACGGAGCAGTTACCTGCTGGCTGTAGAGTGAATTTGCTTTGCAAAGGGACAGGGATGTCCTGGGTTGGGGCAGCTTGTGGTATTTAACAGAAAGTAGTGCTTAAAATTACTACTGCATTTTTTCAGGACCAGGTTCAAAAAAACAGAAGCCTTTCCTATTTCTAACTTGCTAGTAAAGGGTACTATATTTGAGAGTTGCTTCATGTTTCCTTGTAGAGGCATTAAGTCATGGCAAACTTTTTACCAGGCTCCGTTTTCTACTCTGATCCAAGGCCTGATGCTGTCCTATTGTGGTCTGCTACAAAACTCCCATTAGCTTGAGTGGAATCAGGGCACGACCCCTCATCCCCTGCTGCACTGTGTGCGTGAACGTGGAGGTGTTCCTGCTGCAGCCTGCTCCCTCCACCTTGTTACAGGGTGAAATGGGCCTCCCCGTGAAAAGGATGTTGCTCTAAAGCCCTGGTGTGTTTTGAAATGCTGAAGATGCCAAATCTTGCTGTTGTTGGTAGCCAGGAAATTGAACATGAAGCTCAGATTACTCTCCCACTACTTCAGGTTTCTGGGGAATTTCTTTCTTTCTTTCTGAATGTTTTGACTCTTGCTAGAACATGGCCATCCATCAGCCAGACACATGTGCTGCATCTCTGCTGGGAATAACTGCTCTCTTCTAATGTAAAACATTGTGCTCCTGGGAGATCTTTGAATACCATGATTCAAAGGAGACACCATCAAGGTATGATTCATATATTCAGCAAAATAGTGTGTTCTTTGCTTTATTAGCAAACCTTTGGAAAGCAGAGTCCAGAATACTATTTCCAGTAAATTGGTTTTCCTTCTGTGTGTGCAGTGAGAGGCACTCGATCCAAGGTATATTGTACCAAGCTAGCAAGCAGTGAACAGCTTGTGCTGGTATCTCTCATATATGGTAAAAAGCAATCACATATTCCCAGGAAAGTAGCCATCGGGGTCTCCTGTAGGTTGTACATTGGCTGTGTACCTTGATGGGCTTCTGCCTTCAGATTTAGGTCTGGACTCACCTGCCCAGATGGTTGCTCCGAGGAGGAAATTGCTGTTATATGCATGTACATGTGTACAGGAGTCCAGGTTTGGGACCCCACCAGGGTGCCCTGGAGAGGATGGAAGGACAGAGAGCCCTTCCTGCACCATGGGCTTCAGGGCCGGGTATGAGGATGGGGCCTTAGCACACACATTTACTCGGATCCGAGCAAGCCCCAGAGCCCTACATGGCGAGTGTTCATGCTTTATCAAGGGACAGCGTGGAGGGGCCGCTGTCCTGGGACAGCGGGGACCCTGCGTACAGTAGGTAATTCACTCTAGCTATTGCTTCCATCTGTTTTTATGGGATAAGGCAAGGAAGCAGTCAATGTATTTTGTGTTCAGGAGACATTTATTTTCCATTAACTTTGTAAATCTCATTTTTCACTTAGTGTATGGAATTTTAAAAAGTTTAAGTGATTGCTGACTCAATAAACCAGTGCCACATGGTTTAAAGCTTTGCTTTAAAAAAAAAAAGGCAGGAAAGTAGATCAATCTTTAGAGTCCTGTTAGTTTTATTGGACCATAAAAAGATGTAAAGAGTATTCACAGTAAAACAGTTGTATGGGCCATTGCTACAGCAATAGATACAAACAGTAATAATGATAATAAAAATGAATATGTGTGATAGGGCTCCCCAGCTATATCTTTATATATATATATATGTGTATATGTAGGATATAGCTATATATCTATATTGTTATAGCTCTATCCTATACATAGGAATTTTTCACCGCCTATCTCCTCAGGTAAGGATTTTGGATGCTGTTTTGGGAAATACTGAAATACGCTGCAGCTAAAGACTAAATTGAGTGCAGGACCTGAGACAGCTTCAGCAGTCTGTGTCA